GCAGCCTGAAGACACAGAGTCTGTCTTATTTCTCTCTGGTTCTCAAGGTTCTGGGGCAGGCCCCACCACATACCATGCCCAGCCCAAGGAAGAAATGGAGGGGAGCGTGACACCACATCAGACACTTACAGGACCAGGAAGATCAGAGGAAACGCCCCACTCCCCTCGTCTATTCTTGGCCTAAATGACTTCTCTCATCTGACCCCAGAATGGTCAGAGAGCCACTCCCAGTGGAAACCACAGTTTGGGGTGGAAGACTTTCTGCCGCAGCTTCCCTGGGGCCAGGCCCACTGGCCTCGGAAACTGCCTTAGTCTTATTTAAACTGCAAAACAGGGTCTGTGGGCAGCTCTGGCCAGACCTGGGTGGGGGCAGCCTGGATCAGGATCATGCTGGAGCCTCCCTTCCCTGACTGCCAGGACCTCAGGGGTTGAGATGTGTGGTTCCCTCTCAGCAGCTTCCTGCTGTAAGGGCAAAGATCAAGTGGGTGAGGGTATGTGGCAGCCTGAGCCTGTATGTTTATGTTTTTTGGTTTTTTTTTTTAAGATTTTATTTATTTATTTGACAGAGAGAGAGAGCAGGAGCAGGAACACAAGCAGGGGGAGTGGGAGAGGGAGAAGCAGGATGTGGGGCTCGATCCCAGGACCCTGGGATCATGACCTGAGCCGAAGGCAGACGCTTAATGACTGAGCCACCCAGGCGCCCCTGTATATTTATGTTTCTGCTTTAATATGGAGACTGGGCTTTGTCCTGAGTTGAGGCTGAGGTCCTCAGAGGCTCAGCCAGCAGGCTCCCAACCAAGATTGGCTAAAGCTGGAGGAGCCCTGCTTATCTCAACCATCTCTCCCAACTCACGAAGCTTCTTCAGAAAAGTTGATGGAGTGCTTGAAAGCCCCAGGATCTCTGCTTGACCTGCTCATCCCTACCTTGGGAAAGAGGACCCCAGGCTGCTGGCAGGGACTCTGCCACGGCAGGCAGATCATGCTTTTCTTGGCATCTCAAAGGGCGCTGCCTTGGTGTGCCCGCCACAGAAACCAGAGCCTGGAATAGAAACAGGGATACCTGGAAAAAGTCACCCAGGCTTCAACCCAGTGTGGTCTGTCCATGGTCAACAAATATTTACAGAGGGTTAGGCACAGCACTGGGTATGGGCGCTACAGATGTGAACAAGCCCCAGCCCCACCCTTGAGCAGTCCACTGAGCACAGGCTGCTACAGGAATACAGAAGAGGGGGCCCTGACCTAGCCTGGGTGAAGGTGAGTTCAGGGAAGGCTGCCTGGTGGAGGTGACATATAAAGTAAGACTTGAAGAAGGCGCCAGGGTGGCTCCGTCGGTTAAGCATCTGACTCTTGGTTTCGGCTCAGGTCATGGTCTCAGGGTTGTGAGACCGAGCCCCACATCGGGCTCTGCGCTCAGCAGGGAGTCTGCTTGAGATTCTCTCTCCTTCTCTTTCTGCCCCTCCCCTAAGCCCCCCAATAAAAAATAAATGAAATTTTCAAGTAAGACTTGAGGGCTGAATGAGTCCAGTTGGGGAGGAAGAGTGAGAGCAAACATCATATGCAAAGGCCCGAGGTCAAAGAGAACCTGGCACCTCTGGGGAAATTACCCCTAGTTCAAGATGGCTGGGGTCTGATGAGGGAGAGGTGGTTTGAAGGTCTGGATCATGAATAACATGAATGTATGGAAAGTGCTCTGCACAACCATAGTAAATGCTCTGCCATGGTAGCTCTCATTATAATTATGACCTTGTAAACCAGGTTAAGCGTTTGGGACTTCATCCTGCAGTCAGTGGGGAGATATTCAAGGGTTCTAAGCCCAGGGTGACTGGATCAGATTTGCCACATGACCAGATTTAAAGAGATCCCTGTGACTGCAGGGGAGATTACGGACTAGGAGAGAAGCAAGGCTGGAGGACAGGAAGAGCAGTTTGGAGACTGGTCTTATTATTCACTCATTCATTCATTCAAATATTCACATAAGCAATCAGTGGATTAACTCATTTATTTAAATACAATTATTTTGTTATTAATTACTATTATCTATAATAATTCAGAGGGACGTATGGGGTGGGGGGCTTCAAATATCTCCCAACAGTAGAATAGATAAATATGCATTGGAAGACAGAACACAGCAATGAAAATGAACTCTAGCTACATGCAACAACATAAATGGGTTTTGCAAGTGCAATGTTAAGCAAAAGAAGGCCAACACAACATAGGACTGTATAATTCCATTTGTATACAGTTCAAGGAACAGGCAAAATGCAACTATTGTGTTTAGGGATACACGCTTAGGTGGTAAAACTATACAAGCAAAGAAGTGATTATCAGGAAATTAGTGGTGATTAGGCTGTGCTTGATGATACCTCGAGCTGAATGATGTTCACCTGGGTATTCGCTCTGTGAGAGATCATGAAGGTTTACATTTCCGTTTTGTGCACTTTTCTGTATGTGTGCTATTTTTTTTATTTTCTTAAGATTTTATTTATCTGACAGAGAGAGACACAGCAAGAGAAGGAACATAGGCAGGGGGAGTGGGAGAGGGAGAAGCAGGATGTGGGGCTCGATCCCAGGACCCTGGGATCATGACCTGAGCCGAAGGCAGACGCTTAACGACTGAGCCACCCAGGCGCCCCTGTATGTGTGCTATTCTTAACAAGAAGGTTTCAAAAATAATGGGTCTTGCTCTATGGTAGTCGGAAAGGGGATGGAAAGAAGAGGCTGATTTTGACTGTACGTGGAAAGCAAGGAGAAGGGAGATGTGAGGAGTGCATTGGAAGGAACCAGTCTGGGGAGGCAGATGAAAGCGAAGAGCAGTGTTCATTTGACACTGTGAGTCTGAAGTGGAGCTGTCCGGGACCGCGGCGTGAGTTCAGGCAAGTCACTTCCCTAAAGTCCAGATTCCCTTCCCCACAAGAGAGGGAAGCAGTGTGGTTTCATGGAATTGGCTTTGGGTTTTGATGCTGGGAACCCTGGCCTCAAGACCCCAGTTCTAATACTTCATATTACTTCGTACAATTACTTGACCCCTGACCCTTCCCCGCAGCCTCAGTTTGCCCACGGGTCGACTTGACAATCATTTCTACTCTCAGAGTTCTTAGAGAGGATTGTATGGTAAAATAGGAATAGGCACTTGGGATGTGAGACTCTGAGCAGCAAATGAAAAGATACTTTGAAAGCATAAAAGCAAGAACAGACAGCAATGACTATATGGTTTTTACACTCCAGTTTTAATAAGAACTAGCTGCGGAGCTTGCAAAACTGGGCAATCTGTAAGTCTAGAGTGACCGTATAATTCATCGTCCAAACCAGGGCTTCTGAGAAAGGAGGCAATATTAATAATTATGCCAGGACAGGGCACCTGGGTGGCTCAGTTGGTTAAGCGACTGCCTTCAGCTCAGGTTACGATCCTGGAGTCTCGGGATCGAGTCCCACATCGGGCTCCCTGCTCAGTGGGGAGGCTGCTTCTCTCTCTCACTCTCTCTCTCAAATAAATAAATAAATAAAATCTTAAAAAAAAAAAAAATTATGCCAGGACAGCAGCCATAAATCAAGACTGTCCCAGGGAGAGCAGAACATGTGGTCCCCTAGGTAGGTCTGAGGTGGGGACCAGGCATCTGATTTCCTATGAAGCTTCCCGAGTGAACTGGATGCTCTGTGAGGGCAGGATTGGCTTCACCCTATATGGGGCAGGTTTATTTTTGGAGGGCTCAAATCTACTTGGAGCAATCCTCATAGCCCTGTGAGGCGATAATAGCTAACGTTTATTAAATGCCAGGTACCACATGTGCTGAGTACTTTACAGGCGTCATCCCAGTTAATTCTCACCAAACCTCTATGAGGCAGGCGGACTTATCTTTCATTAGAGGAAACTAAAGCTTAAAGAGGTCCAACAACTCCCTCAAGGCCACACATCTAGGATGGAGGAGCAGGGCTCTAAACCTAGCCGGACTGATGAATACCCTAGTTCATACTATTACCTCCGGTTTTGTTGACACTCCAACCCCAGCCGGCTGCACGCTGGGCAGGCACCGCGGACGGCAGAGGCTGCGGCCCAGCTGGGGTACCTGCAGCCTCTGGCTCCGCTTCGGAAGCGCCAGGCCAACAGCAGGTGGCAACCTCGTACTCCTCTGAAGCTACTACGGTTGAGAGGTCAGTTTACTAAGGCGGCCCGAGAGAGGTGGAGCTAGCGAGTCGGCCCGCCCCTACCCAAGAATCCTGCAGGGAGCCGGGCATGGGGTACCTAGCAACTGCAACTCCTGCTGGCCTTTGGTGGCCGGTCTGAGCTCTCAGTGCGGCTTAGCACCGCCACTAGTAGCCATAGGTATGTCAGTGTTGGGGGAACCTCTCTGATGCGTTTAGTTAATAATTTCCTAAATTTGCCAAAGCCCTTTATTATGTCTCCCACGGCTGTTTTGAGTTTCTTCTACTCAAGAGCACTTGTAACTTTTATGTAGCCTCACAATGGGAGAAAGTTCGATTTGCTTGCATCCTGGACATGGAAAATGGCTGGAAAACATTCTTGCCAGGGGCCCAGAGACGGCAAGCGACTGGACGTTTAAATGGCAGAGCCCCGCCGGAGCTAGGACCCAGGTCCCTGCTACGCCCAAGAGCAGCGTCACAACTCCACCCCGGGTCGGCGTCTTTGCCGGGCGCCCGCAGGTTCCCAGCCCGCCCCGCGCCCCCCGGTGCGCACTCTCAGTCCGGCCCAGGCGGTGCACCTCCCACCCAGGTCCTCCAGCCCTAGCGGGTGTGCTCGCGGAGGGAAACTGAGGCAGGGAACGTGCCTGTGAGCTCGTTCCTTCCTCAGTCCACACCCCGCAAACGGCAAAGCTGCCGTGCCCTCCTGAGACCCGCATGAAACAACAGGGAAGAAGGAGGAAGGGGAGGGGGCCCGAAAGCAAGCCGGGTCTGTGGAGTCGGCCGGTCCTGCCACACTCAAGATGGCGGCTCGGCAGCGGCGAGGTCCCTCAGAGGCGGTACCAGCGCATGCGCAGCGCGGAGTCCCGGCCCGGGACACAAGATGGCGGCAGCGGCGCTGGGGAGGGCGAGGCGGAGGCGGCAAAACGGGAGGTCGAGCAGAACGTGTAGCCGCGTCCCCTCGAGTCCGCTCCGGGCAGGTAAGAGCCCCAGGAAGCCATGGTCCCGCCGCGAGTCGCTCCGGGGTCCGAGGATCCGAAGCCGGGCAGCGGTGGCCCCTCTGGCGCTTTCCGCTCGGGGCCACCGCTTGCCCTGTCTCTGCCGCCGCCGCCATCTTAGGCCTGCGGGTGGGCGGCCGGGCCGGTAGCTTGGGTGAGGGAGCTGGGCCCGGAGAGCGCGGGCGGAGCGGCCTCTAGGGCCCCTCCGCTGCTGCCGCCGCCACCGCTTTTGTGTCGGGCTCCGACTCTGAGTCGCCTCAGCCCGGGGGCGGGAGCGCGCGGTGGGGCGGGGGGCGGAGCCCGAGAGATGGGCCGGCGCGCGCGCGCCAAACAGCCCGCCCCCGCTGGGGTTGGGGGGAGGGGAAGGTGTGCGCGCGCTCGGGTGTATGGGGGGGAGCCCCCTCCTTGAGAGGCCCCCGCGCCTGCGCATTTTGCCAGTCCTTTGACTCCGCCCTCCTGACTCAGAGGGTTCTGATTGGTGAATTACTGAGATGGTCCCGCCCCATCTTTCTCCAATCCCGTAACCGAGTTCTTTTCCTTGTGGGTTCCTCCGGTCCGGCGGATACAGTTGTTAAGCTGGTCGGCGCTGTCAGACTGCGGTATGCGCGGGGGCCGGGAAGCCTTTGGATAAATAAAAACATTACCTTAATAATAGAGTTATTTCTTACTCAAAGTGTACAATACGCTAGACTCTACGTATAGAGACCACAGAGGTCGAATGATTCCTGTTTGTGAGTCGGAAAGCGGCAGAAGGACCTGGACTCTCTGCCCAAACCCAGAGCCGGTTCTTCGGCCGCCGACCTGCTGCTTCCAAATCACCTGGGAAATTAAGAAAATTTTTTTAATCGTAAAAAATCGGTAAAGGTTTGAAGCGGTATAAAATTTGTCATCCGTTTCCCAGGCCTACCTTTTGGGGTGTGTTTAAAAAAATACAAATTCTTGTGAGATGAATCTTCCTTCCCCATTCCTGAGTCCTAGGACGTGAAGTGAGGGACAGGAATCTGAATTGTTTTACAAGCCCTCGAGATGCACAGTTGGCTTTGAAAACACTGCAGTGTCCCCATTTGGCCTCTCAGCTGTGTTCTTGCTGTCTCTGTGTAGTTCAGTTACTGCATCAGTGTCACACGATATTTGTTGGGGAAACTATCTGCCAATAAAGATGAACATGCTGTGTTACGTAATGCATTTGCATGTATGATTATTATTGTGGTTTTAAAAGATCGATTCAAAGAAGTGTGTTTTTCACTCACTGTGGGTGGCTTGGGAGCGTGCCCCTGGGATTTGAGACATACAGTTGGCCCATGAATAACAGGGGTTAGAGGCACCGATCCCGGCACGGTTGGAAATCCCAGTAGAACTTTCGACTCCCCACAACTTTAATAATAGCCTCCTGTCGACCTACTGGTAACATAGGTAGTGGATGAACACGTGTTTTGTATATTATGTGTATTATACATTGTATTCTTACAATAAAGTCAGCTAAGGAAGAGCAGCTGTTACTAAGGAAATCATAAGTGTAAACACGTTTATAGTAGCACATTGTATTGGGAAAACTGTGTAAGTGGACCCACACGGTTCAGACCTGTGTTGTTCAAGGGCCAAATGGTATGTTCACTTTTCTCTTGTCTTAGGGATATTTTGGTTGATAGGAGCAGCTACACAATTTGTGGGGTCCAGTGTGCAAAATGAAAACATGGGCCAGCTTATTAAAAATGTATTGAAAACTTTAAGACCACAACCATAGAGCATGAAACCAGTTAGGGCCCTCCTCAACACGGGGCCTGTGTGACTGCAGGCTGCAAGTCTGTGAAGGTGAACCCTTTGGTTTGCAAAGTTTGAGAAGTATCATTCTCGTCCCTTAAATCCCCAGATCTCCCACAGTGTCCCCTGCCCTGTCCTGGGGGCTCCCAACTTGCTCTGTGTCGTTGCCCCTCTTGCTGTAGTGTGTGTGCTGCAGCATTTCACAGGTCTGTGACGCTCTCTTCTCTTTGCTCTGCAGTTGCTGATGCAAGGAATTCCCTGGGCCCCCATCCACTCCACTGCTGACCAGCCCACCCACCCGCGCTGAGCCTTCCTGCAGGCCTCCCCCCCTGCCTCTGGGACCCTGTGACGTGGGGGTCCATCTGGTCGGAGAAGAAAACCCTCTCATGCTAGCATTGCAGACCCCAGAGGGTGAGAAAAAGAGGGACCTTTTGCAGGCTTAAGACATATGGGCTCAGCCCCAAGGCACCGGGAATCCCTCCTCCCCAGAGAATCAAGCCTTTTCTCCCCCTTGGTTCGTGCTTCTGAACCTTTCTGTTATGACTTCCCCCTTTGGTTGTATGTATGTCCTCTTGCTCTGTGCATTTTTACTGCCAAGCTGTACCGACGAAGTAACCGCTCACTTTTCCCTTTCCAAATTAACGAAGATATCTATGACTGTACAAATAAAATTAATGTCCCAGTGATTCCTATGATGTTGTCAACAGCCAATCAGAGCTTCTGATCCTCATGAGATAATCAGTGTGACCACAACGAGTTGATAAAATTTCAGCAAGCAAAGATAACTGATGTTTCAACATGCCTTTGTGCTCTTTTTGTGGGTAAATGTTTGATTTCTTTGGGTGCTGTGACATCTTGAGAACAACTTTGGGATCACCAGTCCAGTCTCCGTTGGGCCCCTAGGAGTCTTAACAGCCAGGTCGGGAATCACTGGCCATTGAGGCTTGTGCTGGATGTGCTTTGGGAGGGGGTCGTGGAGAATACAAATCTGAAGGAGCTGACCTGCTTCCTGGTATTTAAAGTACATTTCACCTGGGGATTAGGAAGGACTGAATTAGATATTTCTTCTCAGTCCCACTGGTTTCTTTAGCAACATATTGTTTCCTGCCCTGAAGCACAGAATGAAGCAGCCACTTAGATGCCATGTCCCCTCTGGGCTGCACTCTGTTCCAGTTAGATTTTTTTTGGGTAGGAACAGGAAAGAGGTCCTCCTGTTCTTTTTTGTGGGAATAGCTTCTCAAGGGCAGACCCTGGTCTGTGTTCTGTGCCACTCTGTGCTTTGTAAATATTTGCAGAATGAATAGAGTTCCTATTGGGTCCAGGTACCCTGCTGAGCACTGGAGAGATGAACTGGACCCAGTTCCTAGCCCTGGGAGTTCTGACCGTCTGATGGGTAGATAAACCCAGCTGATAGGACTGAGTGCCGCAGTGGAAGTGTTCATGGCCCCGCGGAGGGGGGTCGGGTGGAGAGTCCAGGAACGCTTCCTGGAGCACGTGAACATCGTGACAAGCCAGGTGGAGAATTGGGGAGAGTATCTCAGGCAGAAGGAGCAACATTTTGCAGTTGGGGGAACTGGCACTTAGATCCCAGGGCTCCTTTGGTACCACACTGGCCCTCCAGGGACAGGACTGGATTGATTTCTTCATGTCTGCAAGTGGTCAATGGAGCCCTCAGTGGATTGTAATTGGTGGGCGAGGGGTGGAGCTGACCTCCATGCCCTGCTGGCCTGACACCCTTCGGTCCTCTGTGTGGCAGGTCCGGTGTGGGTGCTGAGATGGCCAATGAGAATCACGGCAGCCCCCGGGAGGAAGCGTCCCTGCTGAGTCACTCCCCAGGCACCTCCAATCAGAGCCAGCCCTGTTCTCCAAAGCCCATCCGCCTGGTGCAGGACCTCCCAGGTACTGGCGAGGGGCAGGGTAGGGTGGCGGGGTAGGAAAGATGCCTCAGGAGCAGCCCTGAACCTGGCTGGGCTCCATGCTTGTTTGCAGAGGAACTGGTGCATGCGGGTTGGGAGAAGTGCTGGAGCCGGAGGGAGAACCGTCCCTACTACTTCAACCGATTCACCAACCAGTCCCTGTGGGAGATGCCTGTGCTGGGCCAGCATGACGTGATCGTGAGTGCCAGCCCAGGGCAGGGCTCCCGAGCAGCTTCTAGCATCTGGGCCCTCCCCAAATCTATCTTGAGCAGCTGTTATTTGCCTAGCCCCATCTTGGGACCTGGGGATACAATGACACACAGACACACTCCCTGCCCTCATGGAACCTACACTCATGTAGGGGAGATTGACACGTAAAGAGATGATTGTAATGTGTGTGAGGCTGAACTTGAACTCCATGTTGGGCACTGTGCCTGTGATGCAGTTATAAGCGAGATGGACCTGGTCCTGCCCTTGCACTCTTGGGGGCCCACAGTCTACTGAGGAGCCAGTAGGATCGAAGTGTGGCATGTGCATGAAGTCATGGGGAGGGGAGGGCACAGGGAATGCTTCTCCTTGAATTAGCACTTAAGGTGACAAAGTTAGTGAAGTGAAAGTTGTTAGAGGGGAGAAGCACGTTCTAGGAATGGCAGTGTCCATGTGAGCGGGCCGTCTGGCAGGAACGTGTGCTTTTGGATCCCTATCAGGTGGGGCAGACTTTCCTTACTGGGCATAATCAAGCCAGTTGGCAGCCCCATTTTGCAGATGAAAACACTGAGGGTCAGAGATGGGAAATGACTGGCCCAAGACCTTGAGCCAGTAAGAGGCAGAGCTGGACTCGAACCTGATGTGATTTCAGGGCTACCCTGCCATCACTCATACTCGGGGTCACCAAAGGAATTTCATCCATGGGGCCTTGCTCTTTAAAAAAAAAAAAGCATTTCTTGAGTTTTTCCCTTTATTCCTCTCATTCTCGTGTTTAAGGAGGAGAAATTAACATGTACAGAGGGTTCTTCTCCTGCCAGATGTCTTATTAACTGGTAATATTCCTGGACTCATTGAATCATCTTCCCAACAGGAGGTTGGGCCTGTTTAGCATGGCCATTTTGAAGGTGAGGGAATTAGGAAGGGACATAACTCTCCCAAGGTCACACAGTTGTAAGAGGCAGGCAGGGGTGGAGCCCAGTGTTCTTTCTGCATCCCAGCCCCCTTTGCTCTTCTCGGAGCAGTAGGAGCAGGGGGCAGGAGGGCATCAGGATTCTGTAATACTGGGACTCTTAAGGCACTGGCTCCCGTTGCAACTCTGCTGGTCTCCCTCCACCAGTCGGACCCTTTGGGGCTGAATGCGACCCCACTGCCCCAAGACTCGAGCTTGGTGGAAACCCCCCCGGCTGAGAACAAGCCCCGAAAGCGGCAGCTCTCGGAAGAGCAGCCAAGCGGCAATGGTGTGAAGAAGCCCAAGGTGAGCGTCTGCGAGCTGTGAGGACGTGGGTGGTGAGCGGCTGCCCCAAGCGGGCAGCCAGCAGGTTCCCTGCGAGGGCTGGGCAGTGGCAGGTCGGTCAGGAGGGGGCCTGGGGCACAGCTCACCAGCTGCACCGGTGCAGTAGCCATAGGCCGGCTCTCCTGACCCTGGTGCCTTCTACTTTTTTGCTCTAGATTGAAATCCCCGTGACACCCACAGGCCCATCGGTGCCTAGCTCCCCCAGTATCCCAGGAACCCCAACACTGAAGATGTGGGGGGCATCCCCCGAAGATAAACAGCAGGCAGCTTTCCTCCGACCCACCGAGTGAGTCCCTGCTGATTGGTTTGGGGGCATCCATTGTCCATGCGTGCCTGGGACCGTGGGGTGTGGTGGCAGGGCACCCCTCCTCCCTTGCCTCTACTTTCCTCTGTGCTCTTTTCTGTGCCCCAAGGGTGTACTGGGATCTGGACATCCAGACCAACGCTGTCATCAAGCACCGGGGGCCTTCAGAGGTGCTGCCCCCACACCCCGAGGTGGAGCTGCTTCGCTCCCAGCTCATCCTCAAGCTTCGGCAGCACTATCGGGAGCTGTGCCAGCAGCGAGAGGGTAACTGCCTCCTGGGCCTCAGGACCCTTGTTTCCGCCCACCCTTAGCCAAGAGCTGGGCTTGGGAATGGCGCAGTGGAGCCTAGCGCTTGAGAGTGCAGGCTGTGGAGGGGACAGGCCTGCTGGAGCCCCAGCTCCGCTAACTGCTTACAGAAAGACTGGCATCAGTAACCGCAGACGCCATCATAAACACTTCCAGAATGCTTACTGTCTGTCAGGTACGTGCGAAGCCTTCTCGTGGCTCTGTAAGAGGGCATAGAACCAAAAGTACCTGCACCTCACGGCATTGCTGCTGGGAGGAGAGGTGGAATGGGAAGTCCTCAGTGAGCTGCAGCTTTCGTTCTTCAGTAAAGAAGCCTGCTTAACTTTGCTGAAATGTAGTGTTTCTCTTTTCCCCTTTTCCCGAGTAACGTTTCCTAACACTCTGCAGAAAACTTGCGATTCTGAGTCTACCTGGGGAGATGTTGCCTGCAGGCGGAGCGCCCTTTACTGCTGCCCCTCCGGTGCCCGCATCCCCCCGCCGTGTGCTGGGTCCGCGTGGAGGCTGCTGACCAAGCCAGACCTTCACCAGCTCGTCTGTTCCACAGGCATCGAGCCTCCTCGGGAATCTTTCAACCGCTGGATGCTGGAGCGTAAGGTCGTGGATAAAGGCTCTGACCCCCTGTTGCCCAGCAACTGTGAACCGGTCGTGTCACCTTCCATGTTTCGTGAAATCATGAATGACATTCCCATCAGGTACAGGCCCACAGCTGGGGCCGACTGGGTTGGGTGGGGGGGTTGGTGTGTGGCCAGAGAAGGGCTCTCACTCTGCCTGCTCTCGGTCCCAGGTTATCCCGAATCAAGTTCCGGGAGGAAGCCAAGCGTCTGCTCTTTAAATACGCAGAGGCCGCGAGGCGACTCATTGAATCCAGGTTTGCTCTCGGCATAACCCAGCAGGCTGGGTGTGTAGGTCCTGGGCTCTCTGGCCCATCTCATGGAGCTTGGTCATTGCTCTTGGTGGCAGGAGGAGGGCCGGCTCCCAAAGGCAGCACAAGGGCTGCGAGGGAAGCCTTGATGCCCGAACGTCAGTGCAGGTGGGGTGGGAGGAGTAAGCGTGGAGCAGATGCCCGACCGCTGGCTCCATTATGTACCCTCAACTGGCAGGAGTGCATCTCCCGACAGCAGGAAGGTGGTCAAATGGAACGTGGAGGACACCTTCAGCTGGCTGCGGAAGGACCACTCAGCCTCCAAGGAGGACTACATGGTGAGTGGCCCCAGGGAAGGAGGCCAGTGGCAAGGCTCTGTGGCTCCTTCCTCCAGCTGCCTGCCTAGGCCGGGCAGGACCCCACAGCAGCCTGTTGTGCGGTTCAGCAGACCTTTGATGCTCATCAGTCCCCAAACTCCTGCATGTAGAGATGTTTGTCCAGGCTCCTGGCTCTGTCCTAAAGATGGTCTCCATTAAGGTTCTTTAATGGAATCCTGTGCTTGGCCACACACCATAAGTAGCTGCCTTTTCAACTTAATGAATGTTGAACATTTCCCTTGAATAGATTTTTGGACACAGATGGACAAACTGCCTTTTCTTGGGTGTGTGCGTTCGCCACAGTGAAGAACTGGCACCAGATTCAATGCCCTGCTTTACTGTGTCCGCAGCAATTCTGTTTTCTGGCCCAGACCCGTCACTTCTTTAACTCTCCACCAGCACTAGCAATGGGCTTTCTTTTCAGGATCATTTTTCACAAGAGACAAGGTTTCGCACTTCACGATAGTAACTGTACTTGACACGTAGAGTGACAAAGGTAGGTGTACTCACTAGCCAGAGTGACTCATTTTCACTCATCACTTTCACACGTGTGATTCAGCAAAATTACAAATGCCTAGTTAAATCCTTGCCAGTTGCTAAAAGCTCAGATCTCAAATCTGCAATGACCAAGGACCCCGTTTTGTAATGGTCTCTCTCCCTGGTAGATGGCAAATGCTTTATAAGTGGGGACTGTGCCTGCTTTGTCTGTTTCCCCAGCAATTGTCATGGGCTCTGGCACAGTGTAACCCCCACTAGAGGTGCTGGCATTTATTGCACATTTGCTGTATGCCGGGGGCTTGGTTAAGCCCTTAATGGGAATGATCACATTTAATACTCAAACTGTCTTATCCGGTAAGTATTTTGTGTTAACAGTTGAGGAATAAGATTCAGAGATGCCAGGGGACTTGTCTAAGTGACACAGCTAGTTAAGTAGCCGTTTGAAAACGAGGACTGCTGGAAGCCTCCAGCCCTCCCCCACCAGCCCCCTAGAGCCCTGATCAGGAGTGTCTCCTCCAGGACCGCCTGGAGCACCTGCGGAGGCAGTGCGGCCCCCACGTGTCAGCCGCGGCTAAGGACTCCGTGGAGGGCATCTGTAGTAAGATCTACCACATCTCCCTGGAGTACGTCAAGCGAATCCGTGAGAAGCACCTTGCCATCCTCAAAGAAAACAACATCCCAGGTAGGAAGCCAATGGCAGGGAGCCAGCCATGAGGCCATCAACTGTTTCCTGGGCCCTGACGGAAGGGACAAGTGAGGCTGAGCCTCTAGGCTGCAGGCTGGTTTGGGGAAGTCTGTTTCCCGCAGCAGTGTCTGGGGCAGGACCTGCTGTCCTTGGGCTCGGGGGTTTCAGCCCTCCTCTAGGAACTGGAGAAGAGCTGGGAAAGGGAGAGACAGAAGGTGGTGCAGACAGGCCAGGGGTCAGCAGTCAGGCGGACTTGTGTTTGCACCTGCTCTCTGTAAGCCCCCGTCTCCCCACACCGCGCTCTAGTGCCTGGTCACAGGCTCATACATGAACTCAGGGGTAACTCTGAGTGCTGGGCCCAGAGAGCTCCCTAAATGAGGCATCGTAATCCCTAGGAGAGCAGTGCAGTTCTCATACTCCTGTCTGGCCAACTGGGGGCCTGTGCCAGTACAGAGCATGTTGACCCAGGCCACCGCCTCTTGCCCTACCGACTTCCTGGCTGTTAACGTCGTTATGGAAGCGTCTGAGCTGCATTCTGCTCCTCTGTGCGACGACACTCACCTCCCCCGGTCACTGGGACACGCGTGAGGCCCCCGGCACGCAGTAGGCACTGTGAATGAGCAGAGCCGAGGCAGGGTGGCCCCTCACTGCTCTCCCTGCCCACAGAGGAGGTGGAGGCCCCAGAAGTGGAGCCCCGCCTGGTGTACTGCTACCCGATACGGCTGGCCGTGTCCGCGCCCCCTATGCCCAGCGTGGAGATGCATATGGAGAATAACGTGGTCTGCATCCGGTATAAGGGAGAGATGGTCAAGGTCAGCCGCAACTACTTCAGCAAGCTGGTAAGAGCTGGGGTGAAGGGGAGGCAGGTCCCCACAGGCGGGAGCAGGGAGGGCTGGCTCCTTGTGGAGCCAGTGTCCCCAGCAGGAGGCCGGCGGGGGGGTGGGGGGTGGGGAGGGAGCACTGTTGAAGGACCGCTCTCTGCCTCGCAGTGGCTGCTTTACCGCTACAGCTGCATTGACGACGCTGCCTTTGAGAGGTTCCTGCCCCGCGTCTGGTGTCTCCTCCGACGGTACCAGGTACAGGCCCTGGGCAGCCAGGGGCCGGGGGGGGGGGCGGGGGGGCGTGCTGAGCCCCGGAGGCTGACGGCGGCCACTGTGCAGATGATGTTTGGCGTGGGCCTCTACGAGGGGACGGGCCTGCAGGGATCGCTGCCCGTGCACATCTTTGAGGCCCTCCACCGGCTCTTCGGCGTCAGCTTTGAGTGCTTCGCCTCGCCGCTCAACTGCTACTTCCGCCAGTACTGCTCTGCCTTCCCGGACACAGATGGCTACTTTGGCTCCCGCGGGTGAGAGCCGGGGCCTGCCGGGGCCCTTCTGTCCGGGCCCGGGAAGGGCTCCTCTAGAGCAGAGATGCCACCTGGGCCAGCTACTTCCTAATGCTTTAGGGTTTTGGAATCGGGCAGTCCTGGGTGTAGTCCCTGCTTTCACCCCTTGCTAGCTATGTGACTTTGGACTGGTCGCTGTACTTCCAGGAGCCCGTGCTAGCCCCTACCCCAGCCTGTGGGTTTCTCGGTGAGTTGGTCCAGGCACTGAGAGGCATGGGAAGTGACAATTCAGACCTCCGCGACCTTACAGACTAACACGGGAGGGTGGGGGGGAGTGAGCACAGGTGAGAGACAGGCCTGAGACAAGAGGGCTGGCTCAGCACCTGGGGAGCTCCTGGCTGGGGCCTGTGCCACGGTGACCACGGAGTCTGAACTGGGTTTGAGCCCCAGCCCTTCCACTAAGTGGCTTGGTGGACTTGGCCACCAAGCCCGAGCCTCTCCATCCTCAGCCCTTCAATGGAGTCGGCCACACCTTGTCCCAGGATGAAATTAAGGATGCATGTTGGCCTAGGGCCCGGCAAGGGTCCATCCCTTCGACAGCGTGGGGGCGGCACCCATTTCTGGTGGAGGGCCTGGGTCCTGGTAGGACTTAGGATGCTCACCTCTGTCCCCAGGCCCTGTCTGGATTTCTCCCCGCTGAGTGGTTCCTTTGAGGCCAATCCTCCGTTCTGTGAGGAGCTCATGGACGCCATGGTCTCTCACTTCGAGGTGGGTGTGCTGCTGCAGGTGGGGGGTGGGGGTGGCAAGCAGGATTGCCAGCCACCTGGAGGGCAGCCTTTGATGTCCACCCCGTGGCCCCTCCTGCAGAAACTGCTCGAGAGCTCACCAGAGCCCCTGTCCTTCATCGTGTTCATCCCCGAGTGGCGAGAACCCCCCACGCCGGCGCTCACCCGCATGGAGCAGAGCCGCTTCAAACGCCACCAGCTGGTCCTGCCTGCCTTCGAGCACGAGTACCGCAGTGGCTCTCAGCACGTCTGCAAGAAGTGGGTGCCCGGGGAGGGCGTGGTGGGGGGCGCCGATCACGCCAGGCCGAGCCCCGCCCTGAGCTGCTCCTTTGTCCACAGGGAAGAAATGCACTACAAGGCCGTCCACAACACGGCCGTGCTCTTCCTACAGAATGACCCTGGCTTTGCCAAGTGGGGGCCGACACCAGAGCGGCTGCAGGAGCTGAGTACCGCCTACCGGCAGTCAGGTCGCAGCCACAGCTCCGGCTCCTCCGCTTCCTGCTCGGAGAACAAGGACCGGGACTCAGGTCGCGAACAGGGCCCTAGCCGCGAGCCTCACCCCACTTAACACATCCTGCGGGGAGGAGGAGCCCCAGGGTGCTGGTGTGGACTGCTGGGACTTGGGCCTCTTGGGGCTGAGCAGACCCCAGGACCCTCCCCCTGAGGTGGCAGCAGGACTCAGGCTGCCAGTGTCATAGGAAGATGATGGCTCTGCCAGGGCTCCCCCTCCCTGCCCGATCCCCCAACCCCTCACCTCAAACTCACTCCATCTCCCGTGTAAATAGGTCCCATCCCTTCCCCGTCCTCCCCTGATCCCTACCATCTTATCACCATCTTGTTTCATTTGTAAAAGGAAATACAGAAACCCCCCTAAGAATGTGTGAGGGTCTTGAGGGCCGAGAAGGCAGAGAACCTGGAGCTAGTCCTGGAACCACACCCTCTACATCCAGGCTCACCTTATGACCCCTGGGCCTTCACACCCCAACCCAGGGCTCCAGTGTCTAACTTCTCACCCTGCTGGCCCCACAGCTGGGTCTCTGGTGGCCTCTGCCTGTGTGTAGCTAAATCTGGAGTCCAGAGCCCTGCATCGTCTATCTGCAGGCCCCGGACTCCCACAGCCAGGCCTGCCCTCCTGCCTCCAGGGAGCAGAGGACCGGGGGCTGTGCCCAGGCAGAGAGCAAGACTCCTGCTCAACCTGGAGCCGCCCGTGAGGGGGCAGCCAGCTAGGGCTCACAGCCCGGGGTCAGGAGGAAGGGCAGCTCTGGGCCACCACGGGCTTCAGGGTTTAGTCTTCGGGCTGCTGGCAGCTGGCTGTGCTGCCCTCTGAGGACCTCTAGGCCGGGAGCAGATGTTCTTCTGGGGTCCAGGGGAAGGGAAGAAGGTCTGAAGGTGCTCAGGGGGGGTTCTTACCAGCTCCGCAATCTCTCCCAGTATCAGGCCTCTGCCCCACGGGCCTGCCCTGCCGTTGGGCCACCACACTGTTTACAGAGGCGAGGTGGGCTGCACTGTGGGGCCAGGCAGCTCTCGTGAGCTGCACGCTCCTCCTTCCTTCCACTTCCCACGTCCTTGCGGACAAAAGTAAGATGGTCGGGACTGGACTCTGGTCCCTTTATTGAGACTGAGGGGCCAGTGGGTCCATCCAAACAAAAATAAATTTCTCTCCCCAAAGCCTGCCTGCAGGCTAGGGCACCCAGCATGTCCTGGCTGGGGCCCATGGTTGTCCCCTAGACCCAGCAGCACAGGTCTGGCTCTCTTAAGAGTGACAGGATACCAGCTGCTCATTGCCTGGAGACCCTAGGTGGAACAGGGAGGTGAGTCCCAGCGGGTCCCCCCCACCCCCACCCCTAAGCACGGCTGGCCCCAGTATCCACGGTCTGCGCTGGGCCCTCAGGGCTCAGTCATCGGTCAGGGTGATGACGTCGTACTCGATGCCCTGGTGCTGCAGCTGTTGGATGTGTTCAGGCACCGCCTCTTCTGCGCCAAACAAGCCCTGGGCTTGGGCCATGGCAGCATCGGCCACCGCTGCCGGGGAGGGGAGAGGACAGTGAGCCCGAGGCCCCAGAAGCTCGGCCTGGGTCCCCATGGTCATCAGGCTCCCGTCCCATACCTGTGACAGCTGAGTGTGCAGCGGCCTCCAGTTGGGCCTGTGTGACCAGCTGCTGGCCTGGGGACACAGGCACATACTGGATCTAGAGTGGAGAAGCCAATGAGATCTGGCCTTGGAGGAGCTCTGCCCCGGCTCCCTCTGATCCCCCCCAGATGCCTACCTGGGACTCCTGAAGGAAAGGGGCCCCTTGTTCGTACTGGATGTGTGTGATCTGGCCCTCCTGTACCTGGAGGGAGGAAGGCAACGTGACGACCAAGGAGGCTGTACGACCCTGGCCTCGCTGCCCACTCCCGCTCAGGCCTGGCCTACCTGGATGTGATGGCCCTCTGGAACCACCACATATTCCTGGGGGAGCAGGTGTTGGACTCCATCCTGGGAGATGATGTACTGTACCTGGAGAAGAGTGGAGGAGAGGCAGGTGCTGAGGCCTTGAACCGGGAGCTTAGCAAGGAAAACTGAGCAGGGGCCCAGGGACACCCAGCATGAATGATGGCAGCTGCAAACTCGGACCCGGGGAGGGGTGGTTTGGAAAGTACAGTTCCTCCCCAAAGCGGGGCCTGGGGGCAGGCGGAGGGAGGGCAGTGCTGGCCGCAGTGCTCACCTGGTTGTCGGAGGTCACCAGATGCTGCACTGTCTGGCCGTCCGCGGTGGTGATCTCTTGGATGTAGGTGGCTTCTTCCTGCCAGGACCAAGCCAGCTCCAGCCTCGGCTCTGTGTGTCCCCCCACCCCGGCCTGTGACCTCCCAGCCCAGGCGCTCACCTGATTGGTCACTGTCTGCTCCTGGGCCACGATGATGTGTTCCTGGCCCAGTGCCTGCTGTAGCCGCTCTGGGCCCAGGACCCCGTGGCTGGACTGGAGTGCAGCTGGGCAGAGAGGGGAGGATGCTCACGCAGGGACTCGGGTGAAACCTGACAAGGCCCTGGCCCCCCACCCTGGTCCCCCAGGGGCAGCTCACTGTGCAGTGTGGCCAGCGTCTCCTCATCACTATTCAGGATGATGGTCTGGGTGGGGGTCCGGGCTGGGGTCCGGGCAGTCGGGGTCCCCGTCTTTCTCCCGTCAGGACTGTGTAGCCGCTGGATGTGGAACTTGAGGTGCCCGTTCCGGTTGAAACTGAGGGGAGGGGGGGAGAGGCTCAGAGGCCGCCCCATCACGCATGCCCAGCAGCCCCTGCCCGCCTGTCCCCGCCCCGCGCCTCACCGCTGCCCGCAGAGGTGGCACGCGAAGGGCTTCTCATTGGTGTGCGTCAACATGTGCCGCCGCAGGTCCTTCTTGTTCTTGGAGGCAAAGCTACACTGGCTGCACTGGTGGGGCCGCAGGCTCGAGTGCTGTGCCATGTGGGCCTGGGGAAGGGGCAGAGTCGGGGGCGCTGGCTGGGGGAGCACAGAGCACCTCACGGACAGGGCCGTCAGGGAATCTGTCCGCAGGGGGACAGGAGCTGTGTAAGAAGTACAAACCAGACCGAGATCTGGTGCTGCTGTGTGTGGCAAGAGGAACAAGTCCCAGGCCCCTGCCGTTAGGTCACTTAGAAAATCCTGTCCCTGCTCCCAGACTCCCGTTTACCCCTGCGTAAATGCAAGATACAGGTTCAGATGAGGGAACCTCTGAAGGGCTCTCCCAGCCCTGACGTTCTAGGGCTCTGGGCCCTGCTCCCGTCACCAAGCTGCTGTGGGGATTCTGGGTCTGGAAACGGTAATCCTTGGGGGAAGGACTCCCGCCCAGAACCTGCCCTCCTCACCTTCTCCACACTGTTTCCACCACCCTCCTCGTACCCTGCGCTCTCCCGATTCCAGACAACTTGCATTTCCCTAAGCGCGCCCTCTGCCCCTCCAGGCCCAGGTCGGCCAATAGCAGCACCCCAAGCCTACACGACCCATGCCATCTGCCCTCTGTTCACACCAGGGACACTGCTGGGCATCAGTCACCGTGTCTGGATGGTTCCCCACCAGACTGAGGGTCAGACTGAATGCTGAGACCTCACGGAATCCTTTCTGACCCTAGAAGGGGGAGGGCCTGGCTCAGGGTGTTCAGTTAAGGTCTGTTACACAAACAAGTGGCCGAATGAGTGCCAGGGGAGGCACGGGGGGCAGCACTTACCCGGACCTCGGGCCACTGGCGGGCACTGAAGGGGCAGTCGGGGCACTTGAAGGCACTAGGCCCGGCATGGGCCCGTTTGTGACTCTCCATCTCTGCTCGGCCAGGGAAGGCCTCAGCACAGATCTTGCAGGAAAACTTCTTGGAGGAGGCCGTGGCTGCGGACGGTGGCGATGGCGGCACTCCCAGGCTCAGGGCTTTGCTGGCTGCGGGGGGTGGGGAGGCAGAGCCCTGGGTGTCTCCCACCCGGTGGGTCCTGGCTGGAGATGGGGGCTCAGGGCCATCTCTCGGCAGCCCCCCACACTGTAGTAGGGGCCACTTGGCTCCAGAGGCCAGGGAATCCGGGCTTGGGAAGGAGATGGAGCCATCTGCAGTCAGCTGTAGAGAGACGGAGGAGCGTGAGGTACTGGGGAGGACTGGGGAAGGATGAGAAGTGGGGGAGGGACTGGTACCCCAAGCCTCACCTCAATGTGGTGCAGCTGGGTCCCGTCGGCTGCCATGATGTAGTGGGTACCAGCTTCTTTCAGGGTGTCGCTCACAACCACAGCCTGGGCTGCCTCCCCTGGGGGCTCCTCGCTGTGAGCACCGAAGAGGGGAGGAGTGAATTCTAGGAGGGGACAGAAGGCCACAGGCGTCCCCTTCCCCAAGAAAGTCATCAACAGGGGGTGACTGCCACCACAGGTGGACTCCCTGATCTGAATTCCAGCTGAACCTCAACTGTCTCTTCTGTAAATAGTGACCACAGGTCCAACATATCGTCCTGCTCAACAGTAGTCATCCGGCTCCTTTGAAGGGCAGGGCGGCAGTCAGGCGGAGAGCCCCAGGGGTCTAGCCCAGGTCTGGCCAAGTGTGGCAGCAGGAGGGCCAGTGGGGCGGGGGGGGGGGCGGGGACAGGCCTGGCAAGGACCCAGAGACCAGGAGCAGATGGCAGACGCTGAGACTGGGCTGCCTGCCGGCCGCCCAGGGATCTGGATTCCTATCCCAGCCACACACTGTGGCGCTTCAGTGCTTGGATTAAGGGCTTTCTCAGACCGCCCCAGAGTTCAGGGAGCATACAAATACTTCTGCCCCAAACTTGCTCAGTGCAGAGGAAGCCGAGTGCGGCTGCCAGGCCTCCAGTGCCGGCGACGAGCCTGAGCTTGCCACAAAGCTCAGAATGGACAACCCCTCAGGATCACCCAGAACAAAGAGCACGTGACTTTAGAACCAAGGGGTCGACTCCTCGCTTACTGCCTGTCTGACCTCAGGCAAGTCACTCAATGTCCCTGGCCTATTTCCTCACTTGTAAAATGAGAGAAACGTGGATCTCACAAGAATGGTTTAGGTGAGTTCCGAACGTCCAGTGCCTGGAACATCTAAGTGGCCAAAAATTAGTAGCTTCCAACCTCCTGAGAAAGATACGACTCCTATGGCTAATTATGTTACACGTATTAGGAGTTTTGCCTCCTGCCCACTAGGCTCTGGTGGGCAGGGCCCTTATCTGAGGCCTCCCGGCACTCCTATCAATGACTAAAGGGGGCCTTGCAGGCAGCAGGTCTCACCTGTAAGGCGTGCCAGGAGCTGACGTCCCCTCCTCCATAGGGGGTGCAGTGATGACGCTGTAGCCAGTCCCACCAAATGGACCAGGTGCCAGGGTGATCTGCTGCAGGTCAGGGGCACCTAGCTGGTTCTCTGCTGCCACGCTGCCGCCCGGCTCGGCCACGTGGAGGGTTACCACTTGCGGAGTGGCACCTGCTGGGGAGGGCTGCCCACCAGGGGATGCTAACTCTGCTTCCACGTCCTCGGACTTCACCACGGCCACCTGTAATGGACCCAGTGGGCATTAGG